GTAGAGGGTCTGAGCGGGAATACTGGTGCGGTTATTCCTACCATTATCTGTTTCTGATTACTGTCTTTTCGAGAACAAGACGGTTATGCGAAGATGAGGAGTGGCAAAACCCGAAGAGATCCAAAAACACTAATGGATTTGCCAGTCTTCGACAACTCCTTTCAGAAGTGGAGTAACGACTGTAAGGTAAGAATATAGATGTTACCAGCGACTTCGCGATGATTCTATTGCTGGAGGATATTGGCAAAGTTGTGACGTTAAAGACCGCTACTGTCGACTGATACAAACTCGTTGCCAAAAGAACAGTTTATGCAGGCCTATGGCATAAAAAAAGAACTTTTTCTTGCTATGCATTCAGCAAAATCTTAGTGTAGGCTGCATCGTTCAAAAAAAGGCTTCTTGTTACTAGAGGTTCGAATGAAGTGATTAATGCTGAGCAGATGAAAATGCAGCAGTTCTTGACCACTGATCACCGTGAAGAAGACGAAAACTCCCACTAAAATCTGAAAAAGTCTAGCGTGGAATATCCCATGCTACAAAATACTGTTCCTGGTTGGATCGCTTGTCCTTGTATGTTAATTAAATTCCAAGAAAAGAAAAAAGAACTCTTAGTTCTTTTCATAGTTCCGCAGAAAACACAGCTTCTAGCGAAGTAAAATTGATTACAGAATACGCACTTGGAAAGATCACTGCTTTTTTAGTTGAGATAGGATGGTTTTTAGCTGTGAAATCCTTTGTTCAAGAGCACCCGGCTGTGCACTTAGCGATGGGTGAGACCTGAAGAAATAGCATTCTTTTTTTCAATCTAATTAATTATGTATTACAGTACATCTCTACTGAGACTACAATGGTAACAGTATAAAGACCAACAAAGTTGGGAGAGAATTAAACGCATAGGTCCCTCCTCTTAATCATTACAAATTTACCTTATTGCAAGAGACAGTAGGTAAGTGTATTCCAAATGACTGTAAGAAGCGCCTTGTTCAATTATTAGAGCCAGAAGTTCGTCTGGGTCGTGACTGAGCAGTTCATAAAATGACCGGGCTCTATCAAGATCACTCTCCCTTCTTCCTGTCAACTGACTTAACCGCTGCTGCACAGCAAAAATGCTCCGACAAACGCGCTTCCTTCCATTTTCACTCAGTTTTTGGATATGCTGACTATAATACTTTCAGTGATTAAACTCTCCAGCTTGATTCTTGCACAAACACTCCAAAAAAAAAAAAACTTAATAAAGAGCACAAAAAAAGTTGGTTACCTGGAATGAATAAATATGGAAGCTGATAAATGTCCCAGACCGTCAAATAAATATTTCATCTTCTGCACGGGTAAGTACCCATTTAGTAATTGGTGGAACTGCATCATATCTCTACCAAAGCTAACCACCTGCAAAATGGATGAAACTTCAATAAATACAAACAGTAGAACACTGGCGGGATGGCAGTGCCAATAGGTCCTTCAAGTAACACCATCAAATTAACTACCTGACGCTCAGAAACTTGCTTCATTAAGTTCAGAAAAAATAGATATACTTGCCTCATTATCTAACTCATCATGTGGAAGTGATGGCCGCACTCGTGCTAGAGGTAACAAATAAAAGAAACAATGGACTCGTAATTCAAGATGAATAATAAGTAAACAAGTATCTGCTATTGTGTCGAGTTCCACCAGTCGACCTTCTACTGCATCATATATGCTTTCCTCCTAAAGAAAAATAGACTTACTGATGCAGTGAAATCAATCTAATTAACAGGATTTCCTCTAGCCTACCCGGTGTTCAGCTGGTTCGGTGTGCGTCTGATACTGAATCTTACAAGTACGCATTATCTTTAACGCAGAATCAGACATAGAAGAAATAAGAGTACGGAAATTCTGACAAAACCATTTCAAGGATTCATGCATACAAGCCAATGAATGAATCAGTTCCATGTCCGTTATTAATTCTTCTTTCACCAGCTGTTTGGCGGTTCCCAAATTACCTGAACAGTGTACTCTTTCCAGTTAGTTAAGTAGAAAAATTTCAAACCAGGCTAGACGCAATCATCGCTTTTACCTTCTAAGCAATTAAACATTTCATGTTGCTTTCAAAACTCCTCACCAATCAGAAGCTCAGATTCTCGTTCATTCCTTTGACGAATTTCGCTTTCACTTTCAATAACAGTCAAAATAGCTGTAGGAGTCGTTGAAGAAGGTTTTTCATCATTGCTCACAGCCAAACACCAATTAGGCAAACTCTTAAGTAAGCGAGAAATATCTTCATCTACCGCCCAAGCAGCACTTATCTTGCGCCGCTCTCGTTTCTCCTCTTTTTCATAAGAAGGGCGAATTATCTAGAATAAAGTAAAGATGCGATGCTTTGAACTGACGCAGTCAGTGATATTGTAAAATTCCCACCATTTCATAAATTGAAGAAGCAATTTTGAGGAAATCCTGAATGACTAATAACCAGAGCGACGATAAACGGTCAGTGAACGTTTCCATCGTAACAATCAGCTTACCAATTTCTTCGCAAATTCCAAACATGTTGTAACAACTTGAAAGAACCCTGTAAAAATTGTACCAAAATATAAAAAGATGGAAGGGAAATACTCAATTTCCCTTCAAAAATAAACTTCATAGGCGTAAAATACTTATCGGATTGGGAGGAGCTAAAAGGTTGCGCCACGCATCTCTGCCTTGCAGCGCATTTTCAGCCAGCTTTTCCAATTTGGTACGGAACCTATCGACGAAGACGTCAAGGACAAAGGAATGCAAGAATCTCCGGAGAGAACACGGTTGTCTAAGTCCACTCTCTGCTTCTCTCTCGCTGCAGAATCTCTCCAAGTAGGGAAAAATCGCAGTTATGTTCCATGGTGAAGGAGGACATATTGTGGGCTGCTAAATAAAACAGAAGTAAATCATAAAAAGATCTTATTGAAATAAAAAATCTTTTTGAAGTCCAAAATTATGTTTCTTTCACTCAACACTTCGAAAAAAGAAATTAAATCAAAAAAAAGAAAAAAAAAAAAACACGGAGCGAGGACACTAAACAGTCCCGAATGTACCAATAAGGTACCTAGAACTTGGATGCTTTAGACTCTGTTCGAAAGTATTCCCAGTAAAACGGTATTAATTAAACTTTTAATACTTATCATATGACATAAAACTTGCGTCTTCATGATGCCCTAAACAAAAAAATAAGTAAACCTCACTTGTTTGACACCAAAGTTCCCAGATGTAGTACAGGCAGACGCAGAAAATCTGAATAACCTAATTTTTTCCGAATTACTAGATTTCTCTACTCCGTCTACAGATGCATCCACCTCTTTGACGTATTCAGAAACAATTTTCTGCACTGCCTCCTGAGCAATCTCCCAATAATTCGACGAAACCGACAAAGAGTGGAAATCGATACCGTTATTGCTGTTTCTGCTCCCATTATCAAATGCATCCACATTTTTCAGCTGCGCCAGCTCCTTGTCCAAAAGACAGTGAACCTCGTAACTGCTTTTCAGCTGGGTAAGGATCTAGAACTATCGGCAGATTTGATACCACACTACATACACTGTACTGGCAAATTTAAAAATATCTTTTCACTCGGCAAAAAACCTCCACCATTTCACCTTAGACAATTAACGTAACATTTAGCTTTGGAATAAAGAAAGAAAAAACTAAAAAGAGGAAGCAACAGTAAAGAAGCCAAAAGACTAAATACCTTTGAGGAAGTTGACTTACCAATTGAATAAACTGAGCGAGATGTCGAGCATCACCACTTTCATCTTCTTTAAAAGCAACTCGTATAATTGCAGCGGTTGTCTGTACAAGCCGTGACAGTGTACTTGGAATAAGCTGACGTATTTGTGATAAAGTCTGAGACAACTGGCCAAACACAGACAGCGAATTCAAACATAAAGCAAAATGTGATGAAGTAGCCTGCGCCTCCAGCAATTCGCTCTGTTTTAAATTTACACCAGAATTTCGTTCAAGCAAATCCATGCATTCTTTCGATTCCGCCACTTTACTCTCAGGAAAAGATTTTATAACCTCTACCAACTGCAACGACGCTGGTTTTCACGCAACCAAGTTCTTTTGAAAATAAAATAACTTACGATCTTGCATTTCTCCACCTTACCCGAAAATACAAGTCTACTAAAAACCAAACAGAATATCCACTTTTCTGGATATCAATCATTAACTTGTAATTCTATTAAAAAAAATACAAAATTCCATGACTAACATACTTACACGAAACTCGAAAGGACGCACAATTAAATATGAAACGATGTCATCGACTATATGTTCCACAAGTTTCTGAAAAAAAATGATTAAACGATATTCAAGATGCAATAGATGTTTGAAACACCGCTTCTACTGCTGCTATTACTTCAGATACAAAATACGAAAATTTTGACTAAGTATGAACAATGAAAGAAAGGTGTGAAAAGGTTTTGAAGATCAGATGTCATTTTATAAATCCATTAAAAAATACCTTTGAGGCTTCATGAATGTCAATGCGCAAGTTATTTAATCCATCAATATTAGAAAAAGGACCATTTAAAAGAAGATCTAAAATTTTGCAAATAACATACGCGCTGATAAAAAAAATAATATGGGTCTTCCCGAAGTATCGAGATCATAGTGATAATTTTATACGTATATACAAAAATGTTCATTGACTCTTGTCAGTAACTAATTGCAAACCTACAATAACAGCTTTATGATTTGCAAGGGGCAGCAAAATAAACTCCACGCAAACTCCAAAGTTTAAAAAAAAAGTAATTAGAGACTTCATTGTTGTACAACAATTAGGATTCTCAAGCCGTTGATGCTTTTGTTACAAGCTCCGTTCAACAACCATGCCTCATGCTGGCTTTACTTTTCTGCATAAATAATAAAAACATTTATCAAAGACGCTTTTCTAGTCTCAAAATATTTTTAAAAAATCACATTAAAAAAGAAAACAACAAAATATAAGTGATAAGGCGCAGAAAAGCCACAGACCCGCTTCCTTTAAAGAATTCGCAGCAGTTAAGTACTCAGCATGTGAAATGGCTTCTTCCACCTCCCCTTCCAAACGTTTTACTTTATCACTGAAAACTTTCCAATATATCATTCAATCCAAGAAATAGCAAGAAATTTCAGGGTCAAAACAAAAATACAGGGCGTAGATACTACTTTGGGTTAGCTACAGAAAAAAACTTTAAGGTATAAACTTCTTAGCATAAATTTTAAAAATTAATACATCTGATCCAAAATTCGACTGACGTGCTTCTGTTGTGCGTTCTCCATCCACAAGCGCTTCAAGTCATCTCGACGACACTGCAGCAAAGAACGGCAAGAAAGCAATCCGCTTTTTAAACTATGCATTCGTTCCCGACACGCTAAAACCGAGCAATATGAGAACTGAAAAAGCCAAAAAAGTAAAAAAGAATTTTTAATGGTTTTCTGTAACACAATTACAGTAAAAACGT